TTGAGGTGTCCTGTACCTTCTTCACTTATTGTACGCCCCGTCACGCTGTAATATTGCGTCTTTGATGTTTCTTTGACACCATGGTTTTTCAGAGAAACGAATAACTTTGCTACGGACAGGCACGACACAGTTATATAAATATCAAATGTTGTGTTGTAAAAGGTTAACTTGTTCGTCTACTTCGGAAAGGGAATATATGTCATTCCAATTGCACAAATTAAAGGTGGAGTCCAAAAGGTCATAGTTGATATTTCTAAAGTCCCTAAAAACTATTGGATGGACAAGGTATTGTCGGTCAAGTGCGTAAGTGAAGAATATGAGGTCATGTTTTGAAAAGGATGTGACAATAAGTTGGTCATATGTAGCTACTGTGTCTGTATCAGACACACCAAATAAATCTAAAAGCGCGTTGCGGGTTTTGGTAAAATGCGTAGGGGAGACGAAGTAACCAACTTCATCCCCAGCGATTTTATGTCTTCTGCGAGGTGGGATTCCCTTAAAATATCGCTATTAAATTCGCCTGTTATATTGACGTCTGAATAATTTAATTACACGTCAGGAAGGATATTTAAAAATTGATCACTGTCAATACGGCAGTTAGGTCGGTATACACACCCAATTAGTAGCTTATCAGCATATCTTTGGCATCTAATTTCTATAAATAAGTATTCAATTGCACTACTGGTTGAGTGTTTACATATAAACGTGGAACATAACTTTTTACTAACATATATTGCAACCCCACCCCCATGACTATCACGATCAGAGCGATGCAAATTATAACCATCACATTCAACTAAAACATCACATAAATTAGGAACAAACCAAGTTTCAGAAACACATATAACATCTACACTCGAATTGATAAAGAGGTATCTAAATTCTTCAATTTTTCGTGTGAGGCTTTGAGCATTTATATGACACACATTAAGACCAGCTCTCTTCTCTCCGAGAACCCTTAACATCGCATGGCTATTTGATCGATTTGGATTTATGTTTATGTTATTGTTGTTGCTATCACCCATATCTTTGGGATCTAATTTCTATAAATACGTATTTTATTGCACTACTGGTTGAGTGTTTACATACAAACGTGGAACTCAACTTTTTACTCACATATATTGCAACCCCACCCCCATGAGTATCCGATGAGAGCGATGCAAATTATAACCATCACATTCAACTTAAACATCACATAAATTATTAACAAACCAAGTTTCAGAAACACATATAACATCGACGCTCGAATTGATAATGCGACTGATTCTAATCATAAATAAGTATAATGAAACTACTGATAATTTCTCAAAAATGGAATATAAATATAAAAGCATTTTAGGCTCGAAATGAATTATCATTTCAAGTCCCAAACTAGCAACTTCCAGAGCAGCTAATTCATCGGGGGTGCAAATCTCCATTTGAGCCAGTTCGCCCAGACTTTGCACGCAAATCGCCTCCTACTCCTGCACGTGTTCCATTTTAATAAATATAATTGGATCCATTACTGTAAAAGTCGATTTTCGCGGTCGCATTCGATAAATCGAACGTACTTTAGGCGGCGGGGTCAGTTTGAGAGAGAAGCACTTGTGGGACCCCATGCCAACGCAAGTCTCAGGCGACTTCAGACTCCTCCTGTGCGTAGCACATAAATATCTGGCTTTTAATGGTCCAAACATTATTTATGCACTGAAATAACTGAGGGGGTTATTATCTTTTATGGTGCATTAAAATCCTTATTTTATATGTGAGTTCTGTTACATTATCCGTCGCACTCCAATAAACCTCAATGGTTTAATAAGTAGTTATCTCGCCTAAAAAATTTTAAGTCCAGACTTTATAATAAATATAAAATATGTGGATCACAAGCTGCCTTTTCCAGATACATTAGTGCTTGGTCTAATTTAACCGAGCTTAAAACTCAGTGTTATAGGGCTTATATAACTCGTTGTAGGATCCAGTTTTCAATAGATACAAAACAGTTGTATAATTTTGTTAACACTAAGAGTAAATTCGTCTTTTACCCAGCATCGAAGCTATCGCAAACACTGATCAGGCGATTGCCAATGTTTTTGCGCAGTTTTTCCAAACAACATATTCAGCTACGTACTGTCCTAATCAGTCCTATTCAGAAAGAATGTCGAAGTCTAACTTAATCTTTTGTCCTAGTCTGAGTGAAAGCTCCCTTCTTCTAGATCTGTATCGGGAAAAGCCAGTCTATTCACCGGGTCCTAACGGTGTTCCGGCTGTGTGCTTAGATGCTACACTTCTCCAATTGATTACCCTATTCTAAGAAATTACTGACTTCACACCTATTTGGAAGGAATCACTTCTTATTCTCCTTCATAAAAAGGGAAAGAAATCTTAAACTTGCAATTATAGAGGTATCTCCACGTTGTCCGCTATACCCAAGCTTTTCGAAAACGTTAGTACCCCCCATTTGCAACATCTTTGTAGATCATTTATATATCCATGTCAGCATGGATTTATAACACGCAGGTCTACTACGACAAACCTTTTGGAGTTAATTAGAAAAAACCTTCAGACTAAGTTTACACGTATTTTGCAAGGCATTTGATTCCGTTAATCATTCGCTTCTTCGACGGAAATTAGTCAAATTAGGGTTTTCAAACGATCTTCTTACATGGATTTCGAGTTATCTGAGCGGAAGGACACAACGAGTTATTTTCAAAAGCTCTGTCTCTAAGCTGATCTAAGTTACTTCAGGCGTGCCACATTGGCCAACTTCTTTTTACATAACATATTAATATGATATCCCTTTAGTCTTGACAAAGTAGCGAGCCCTTATGTACGCAGAAAACGTTATGTTATGCCTGCAATATTGCGATATTTTCCGCAATTCAGACTTACAAACGGATCTTGATGCCTTTCTAACATGGTGTTGTGAAAAGCTATTCAACTTATACATTCTATCAGGACAATCCACAGAATGTCCAGTATGCTTTGGATGTGAGTTGACTAGAATTACACAAATTGATGACCTTATGAACCCAAAACTTAAATATTCTAAGCACATTTCATGGTGAACCAAGTCAGGGGAGTGCTTGGATTGATAAAAGTTTGTCAAAGGACTTCAATGATCCAGATATCACAAAGACCTTATTTGGCCCCCGTAGCAGAGGGGTGGGGTTCTGCTTTGCTTTTTGGGTTGTCAATTCAATATCCCGATTGATTTGTTTTTAAAATTGTTAGCTGGGTAACGGGTATATACAAGTCGAGGATCTCGACTTAAGCATTTCCCCTGGATTTACTATTCTGAATGTTCATATAGGAGCTATATGAAATGGACTCCGATTTAAGTCAAATTAAATTATGAAGTTCATTCTTAATAAAACTAAAAACGTTATTAAACAAGAAAGAAAGCCCTTGCAGCTATTGCAAGAATTAAACATTTTTGAAAACATTAAAATTATGATTAACTTGAGTATATGCTAAAAAACATTGAAGCTATGATGAATTGCAGCTTAATTATTTGATAGTTATTTTATATATTTTTATTATTTCTATGGGAGCTAAAAAAAATTAGAAAACAGCAAAGTTATACAATAAATTTTTTTGTATTTTTTTCCGATTGGTCCTATGGGATATAGTCGATTTTGATGAAATATAAAACGTAATTATAAAAAATTTAACCATTACTATATGTCGAAGAACTAAAAACAAATTAAAAAACAGCATGGTTATAATTTTTTTCATTTATTTTTTCGATTGTTCCTATGGGAGCTATATGATATAGTCGTCCGATTTTGATGAAATTTAAAATGTAATTCTAAAATATTTAACTATTACTATAGTGATGCTGATCAAGAATATATATACTTTATAGGGTCGGAGATGTCTCCTTCACTGCGTTGCAAACTTCTGACTGAAATTATAATACCCTCTGCAAGGGTATAAAAATGAATTACTTTGTCTGGGATTTGAACCCGGGATCTTAATAGCATACCCAATGTTTGATGCTCAAATACACTTACCCCCTAGGCCAATCATTTTAAGAACGAAATGTTCTTGCTTTAAATTAATAGTTTTTGTGTTTTTTGTTAAATTACAGGTTTTCATAGAGTTTACTGTTTTTAATACTTCTGGTATTATTTACAAACACTAAAAGCAGGGTTAAAAAGAAAAATATCGTTTTCTCTGTGTATTAAAAAATATTTTAAAATAGTATTATCAATTAGGACCCGTACTTATTCTGTACACGTTTGTCTTAAAATTTTAAGAATTAATCGGCCGATTTTAAGGAACGTCCGGCCTAAAATGATTCGTTCTGCTTTTTTCTGGGTGTATGCAGAATGCTTGCAAAATGCTTTAAATTGGGAATCAAATATCAAAAGTGACCTTAAACTTTACCAAATGGATTTTTTTATGGTGAATTTTGTAAAATTTAATTTTTTTGTTAAAGGCGTTTAAAAGTCAGGGCCGTAGCTCTTTATTTCAGTATATAAGCATATGAATGACTTTCAGCATATCAAATTTTGTACTCCCTTCAATTTGAACAATTCTAAGTTGAAGAGTCTGCAACTTGCTTGGGTCATGCTTATATTTTCACATTTCGTGAAAAATTTTGGCTTTCTATATGTTTGTTCTAGGAGTTGTCCTTTTTTACTTTATGAATAGCAATTCGAAATTCTGAACGCCAGCTGTCACGTGTTAAGGACATTCGCTGTCCTTTTTTGTGTGACTTTAAATTTTCCAAGTCCAAATGTACGTCCCCATCTGTTGCAAAGCCATAAATTTACCTACCTGTTTGCCATTTTTCCAGGTCATATCAAAAGGTTTTTAGGGGAAGGTTCGCGAAAACAATTAAATAACGATTAGTTGACAGCTGTTGAGCTTACCTGATTGTGATCGGTGGATTACGAAAAACCAGGGGTTACCGGTATACCAGCATATATTTTACCTGAGCCCGCTATAAGAGGACTTACAAGCGCACCAAAATCCACAGTTACAAACTGCAACGTCTAACGTCAACAACCTGATAAAGCACGAATCGAAAGATGTTCCTAAGCGGTTCTACACCAAACAACAAGCACAACGAGATGATAGTGAATACGGCAGCCATGAACAGTGATGATCTTAGTGAACTACTGCAGCTAAACGCTGAGATTGAGGAGCGCTGTCGGTCCAGCCGGCACGGAGACGACTCCACTGCCTGTGGCTTGCTCCGGGCTACTATGACGAGGGAGGAGCTCTTCGAAATCTCCTCCCTAAACGACGATCGCTTCCTGACAGCCCTGGAGCATCAAAACTCATACATGACACCGCGACGAGTTCAGGTTACCGACCTGGACTTGTCCAGCATCGAAAATCTGATGAAATACTTCGACGAAGAGGTACCCGTAACGCCCACCAAAGTACTTGGGGCCTCCAAGGCGTGTGCAAAAGGAAAAGTGGCCAGCGCCATTGCCAAGCTTCGGATACAGCCGGAGACAGTCACTTCGGCTAAGCCTGAGTTGGGTAGTGGCAACCTAAAGATAAGTGAGCTTAAACAGATGTACGAACAGCAGCCGGAGATAAAGACCCCACGTCCAGCAACTCGGATACCTAAAAAGTCGTCCGCTTCGCTTCCAATAAAAGTGAAGGAGATGGCTCAGCTGTTCAACTCAAAGATCAGCCAAGTGATACGCCGCGCAGAACAGCCACCCTACGTTCAGTTGCAAAACGAGCTCTCGCCAGAGTCTAAACCCCACTTTTATATGAAGTCGGAGCATGGACCCTGCTTGGTGGCCGAGGAAGTGTTCCGTGAACTGAGTGTCAAAGACAAGGCGCTTTTGTTTAACAAGTTCATTGGTGACATGGCAGCCAAACATCCCAAGTTCACCGCCCACGCTGCGGATCTTAAGGCGAAGGTGAATAAGCAGGTGGCCCGCGGCGAGGTAGTATCGGAAAAGCAGGTCAGCGTTAAGCATCTGGCTCAGGAATTGGAAGCGAAGTGTGTCTTGGACACAGGATCGCCACCTCGGCCAACTGGAGTTTCTTTTCCCAAGTCGACTGAAGGCAAGGGCGATACAAGCACATCTCAGCTACATGTGAGCACACTCACTGTGATCCTCAAGCCCAGCTTGGAGCGTAGGGCCCCACAGGCACTAACTCGTCGTTGCCTGGAATGTCAGGACGATAGCCACAACCCAGAGCGATCCCAAAAACGAAACCTCGCCGCGATACGAACCGTACTGCCGACGGAGGCCTATGCGCCGCCCAAGAAAATCCGACGCACTCGACAAGAGCGCAGCGGTAGTGATAACCATGTGTTCTTTCAGAACGAGCAGCTTGAGACTCTTTTTTACAGTTGGCTAAGCACAGAAAATGGTGTGCAGTTCGACATAACTAGTGCTTCCAACAGTCAGCAGACCATAGAGATTGCCGCCGAGGATGGTGCGTACCTAGATCAGCCAACCTCCAATACATTGGAAGAAGTGAGCCAAAAGTCCGCAGTCGAGCAACTCCTGGAGGAGGCCATAGCCAAACTAGAGCTGGAGAGCAAAGTAAAAGAGGAAAACCACAACGAGAAAAACAAGGAAGATATAACTCAGAGTCAGATCGTGCAAGTCACTCCTCGTCGTATTAAGCGCCAGGCCCCTCCAGTGCCTGCACCACGTCTTAATCTGACTCAAACCCATTCTAGTGCCTCCAGCTGCAAGCAATCCGAAGCTGAAGAGAGTGAATCCGGGTTGTCTACTCTACCCAAGGTAAGTTCCCATTCAAATAGGTCGACGACAGATCTCCATATAACCTCCCTTACCGCCCACAGATTACAAGTGACGAATCACAGCCCGAGATGCCAAAAGAAGACTTGCAGCGAAATGACTTTGACTTTGTTAAGCCCCAGCGGCCGCCGCGTAAGAAGAAGATGCGCCGAACTCTCACTTGGAAGAAGGAGAACTCTATTGTGGAGGCTACCGCGATCAACTCAACGGACTCAGATTCGGATTACAAGCCGTCCCTTTTAGCACAGGCCAAGAAAACAACGAGTGCGAACTGCAGCTTCCCACTGCCCGAACAAAGTTTTATTGAGTTGGACAAGTCACTGATGCGCCATGTAAACTCCCCCCGGAAGATCAAGTCAGCGTACACCTTAACAGTATTGTCGTCACCCTCGCCAAATGCAGACAGCGATCAATCACCGTCTCAAACACCAAGGCAGTCCCTCGGGCAAACTATTAGGGACAGTTTCGTGGATCATGGCTTCGAGACGTGCTCGAATGATCCTATGGACAACAGTCCGCTGCGCAGATCATCGGTAGGCGTCTCGGACTCGAAGCCCACGGGGTTTTCTACGCCCATTAAAGGACGTCATGCTAGCAGTCCGGCGCAACAACAACTGTTTAGCCCGATTCTCACCCAGGAAAGGCCTCGTCGCAGTTCTCTGGCCATGCAGGTGATTCGGGAGGATCACCCTCTAGATCTTGATGTCACCTCCAGCTCGCCCTCTTCCTGTAGTGAGCGTGAGTTCTTCGCCAACGCGCCAACAGTCGAAATGAACTCCCAGGATGAGATTCCAGCTAGCAAGTTACATTCGCTGTTTTGGATTACATCCGGGGACTTTACTGTCTCATTGGAAATCTTTCCAAATAGCCCTGAGCGCCTTCGTCTGCTTTACGAAATCTTTACGCAGAAGAGCTGGGAAACTCGTGATCTTGCCTTCGGAATCGACGGTCACAAGTTTACACGCAGTTGTGAAAACCTAGACACCGCCCGACAGTCGTTGCCCGAACGTCCTCCCAGCGTAAAGGGCTGTTCCCACTACTGGTTTGCCAGCGGAGACCTCGCTGTCCCGTTTAGCGGAAAACTGATATCCGGTGAGAAAATTGAGCGTTTATTCGCATTCCTCAACGAAGAACAGTCGCAACTGCGCTTTGGTGTAGACCACATTGAATTTAGCAGCGTGCCTGAGTTCTGGCCCACTACTCAGAAATATTCGATCGAGAGCTGCTACAGCATGCTTGTCGGCCTGCAGACTGGCGCCAGCAATGGACTGGAGGGGCGCAATAAGTTCTCCTGGCCCAACAATATCAACAACGTCAACCAGGCAGTCAAAACGAGCGACTTGGATCAGTCAGAGTTCGAGACCGATAGCTTCAGCAACAATAGCGGAAGGCTGTCGTTTTCGCCCGACATTTTCAGCTTGGACTACGAGTCGGTTCCCCTAGACGACCTCTTCGCTAAGGCTGCTCCTGTTGACGCTGCGCCAGTCATGTCTATGCCGCAAATGATGCAGGCCCTAACGCAGCAGCAAACCAAGCTTCGCAGTGTGGAGCAGCGCATCCGCAGCTACGCTAGGCCCTCTAATTTCACGGACACCTCGTTGGACAACTGTCGCAATACACCACAGTATATTCAAAGGCTACGCTCCATCATCCGAGCCATAGATAACATCGGACGCGACGATGGATTCCGGAGCTGCTCGATGGAGCAGCTCGAGAGCTTCATATATTTTCTCAGCGAATATGCGGATGTGTGCCTGGCCAATTGTAGCGAGCATATGGACAAGATTCTTGACACACTAATGGATCGACGCGCCATAGAAGTCTAAGTGGTGATCCGAAAGCAATATTTTTTAGACATTAGTTCCTAGACAATAACATAAAATGTTAAAAATATTTCTAATAATAAACTTCAAAGATAAAAGTAAAACCAAGGATTTATTCTAAAATATTTAACCATTACTATTTGTCGAAGAACTAAAAAAAAATTTATAAACAGCGAAGGTATAATTTTTTTGTATTTTTTCCGATTGTTCTTATGGGAGCTATATGCAATAGTCGTCCGTTCCGTCTCGTTCCGACTTATATACTACCTGCAATAAAAAGACAACTTTTCGGAAAGTTTCATGCAGATAGCTTTAAAACTGAGAGACTAGTTTGCGTAGAAACGGACGGACAGACGGACGGACAGACAGACGGACAGACGGACATGGCTAGATCGACTCTCCTAGTGAGGCTGATCAAGAATATATATACTTTAAAGGGTCGGAGATGTCTCCTTCACTGAGTTGCAATCTTCTGACTGAAATTATAATACCCTCTGCAAGGGTATAAATTACAAATTGTACTGTCATTTTAAGATTCACAAGGTTTAATTATTGCCAATAATTGTCTCTTAAATTCTAAAAAATTGTCATATTTTATATCATTGATTATTTGGGCTTTTTTTATTGCTTTAATTTTTAAAGTCATACAATTGTTTGTTATAATTAATCAAAAAGGAGGCTAATAAAGTAAATGAGGTCGTTGTCATTTTTGGCTAATTCATCTCGAGCAAGTTCCAATAATTCTTCTATAAGTAAATTAATGTATTGTGTTAGATTTGGCACATGTAATTGCGTATATTCTTTTATTAATTGAATTTTATACTATAACTATTTGATTTCTGATTTACGATTTTTTCCGAGCACTGAGTAACTTTCAGTACTTCATAAGTAGCAATAGTAAGTTGCTTCATTTTTTGATTAATTAATATGTTAATTACTACGTGTCTATTGTTTTTTTCTAAGTGCTCATTTATCGTACCTTCTAAAATCTAAAATCTGATAAATCAGTTTGGATCTGATAGATGAGATGAGGTTAGAGAATGAAATGATTCTTCGAACTTCGCCAGAGCTTCTTCATAGCTTTGTAGGTTGAAGATGTGTATGATTTTAAATGTTCCGTCTTGTTTAGCCGCTAATTCGGTTTCGACTGAGATGATTTGTGAATTGAAATAGTCGAGGACTGTAGTTATCTCCAAGCATGGTGGTAAATATACTCTGAAAAATTATGTTCTTATATTATTTTTATGTTTGCTTATTTCGGTTTGTGTTTTAATTGTGGTCGTTTTATTTTCCGCTTCGTTTGTATCTAGGTGTAAATTTAGATCCTAACCTTTTATCTATTTTTACGTGGACTGTTCCTGGCTTAAAAAGTTTTGGTAGTCTTTTTCCTTTATTGTGGTTGTTACAGAAGGCCATTAAAACGAAGCTTCTAACAGCATTTGAGTTGAAACGATGGTTTTTTAAATATTCAAAATATATTAAAAATTACATAGAGCTTTAAAAAATCTTCTTATCTTGTCGATGCTCGTGATTCAGTTGCTTATCGATAGTTCTCTCTTTCTGGATGCACATCGATTGATGTCAAAATTTATCGTTCATTCCATCGATAATTTTTTAGAAAAAATTAATAAATATTAAAATTATAATTAAATTTCAAATTTAAAGAAATGAATTTCGTGGCCGTATCTGCTACATTTAGCTTCGTTGGAACCCAATGCCATTGACTGGCATTCGAAGTTTCCATGACTTCTCCAACACGGTGCATTACAAAGGCGTAAAAATTTCGTGGATCCATTGTCAGCCCTGAAATAACAGTCCTTGAGTCCGTCCAATATTTATTTATTTATTTATTTATTTATTTATTTATTTATTTATTTATTTATTTATTTATTTATTTATTTATTTATTTATTTATTTATTTTTTTATTTATTTATTTATTTATTTATTTATTTATTTATTTATTCATTTATTCGCCAATGGATATATCCTTATCTGGCTTTCACCTAACTTAACTTAAAACTAAGTATTAATTAAAAAAAATATTCCCTAAGTAATTGCCTAAGCACATCCTTCTTGGATCCCCAAACCAATCGAATACTTAGTGGCAAAGAGTTAAAAAGTCTTAAAGTTCTTAAGATTGGCTCATTACGCGCATAGTTAGTTCTCGCAGCACTTTCAAAAAATGGGATGATGGTACGGAGACTCCTGGCAGGGATATTGAATTTAATTGAGCTTAATATTAATGGACTATCTATATTACCTTTTATATATCGAACGGCGATCTTCTAGACTGCAGGTATGCAGCAGGCAACATTAGCTAGAGTAAGCTGGCAAAGGTTCCGAAAATTTTAACGGCGGAAAAGCAAATTTTAGGTACTTTTTCTGCAGCCTCTCAATTCTATTGATATGAATAACACTTGACGGCTTCCAAATAAAGGAAGCATATTCCACTCTTGAACGCACAAAAGCTGAGAACACTGTCAGTCGTGAGTATGGGTCCTTAAATAGTATGTTTCTTTTGACAAATCCGAACATTGCATATGCCTTCGGCAGAACATGCTTCATATGGTTAATAAACAAAAATTTACTGTCGAAGAGGACCCCAAGATCCATAATCTCAGTAAGTACAGAGAGTGAATGGTTATTGATAACATATGTAGAAAGAATATTTAAGATACATTTACTATAGCGAACAAGATAACATTTATTTGGGTTGAGAGGTAAATAGTTCTGAATACACCATAAACTGATTTTGTTCAAGTCCGATTGTAGCAAATAACTGTCATTTAAGGAATTCACTGGCATGTATATTTTAAGGTCATCCGCATAAAGAATATACTTGGCAGATTGAATGCAGAAACAAATATCATTAATGAAAATAATGAAAAGCAAAGGACCAAGAGAACTGCCTTGAGGAAGACCAGAGGTTGCTTCAAAGAGGTTAGAAACAAACCCGCTGACTTTAACATGATAGGATCGGTTTGCAATATTGCTTATTTTAGCAATCGGCCTGTAATTAGAAACCTCAGACTTGCTTCCGCCTTTATGAGCCGGTAGAATTTTGGCAATTTTCCTTCTAGAAATAAATTTACCCTGAAGTAGCGAGGACGAGAAGATCATCTTAAGGGGTTGAAGAAGACTGCGATAAAATTTTTTAAGAAAAAATGAAGAAACTCCATCAATGTCAGGCTTAATGGAGTCGTCAAATTGTGAAATAGCTTTGCTGGTCATTCTAGTCACAAGCAGGCTCAAATTGGACGAAAAAAATGAAGCAAATAAGTTTGCAATATTTGTCCCAGAATTAGCGGTAGTATTGGTATATGACACAGTTGATGGTATGGAAGAGTAAGATTTCTTTGAATTAATAAAACGCCAGAACACATTTGGATTTGACTTTAAGCTATTTTCAATGTCGGAAATGTATTGATTATAAAGAAATTTATTAAGAAACTCAAATTCCCGCTTATGCTGTCTATATCTATCACGATCCAATTACCCCATCTAATAAACCGTTTGCAGAACTTATTTCTTAGATTTTTATATTTCTGGAGACCATTTGTATACCAAGGAAGCCTATAGGAACCCCGTACCTTGGTTGAACAAGTGCTGTCAGGAATATTTTTTAAAGCGACAAGAAAGTTATTGTAATTGGTCTCAATGCAAGCATTTGATAGCAAGGAAACCCAATCCATAGACGAGAGGCAATCTCTTACGGCAACCAAGCTGGCATGATCAAAATGATATATAGGAATAAAGTTAACAACTGGTAGGAAATTATAAAATTCAATATTAAAGCATAAGGGCTTATGATGAACATCACAACTAGAAATACTAAATTCAGCAAGGCTTACCGAGGAATGAACACTAGAATTGATGAATATTAAATCTAGTAGCCTATGCAAATCATTAAAGATATAATGTATCTGTGTGAGGCCCATACTATAACAATCATCGATAACAATAATTTCATGTGGCTGGTGTACATTGCCAGGCACCATAGCAAGGGATTGCGGATCACATGACCATACAACAGATCCCAAATTAAAATCTCCTGTCACAACAAGACCAACAGTGTCATCTATGCTAGCATGTAGGCTGGCAATGTTATTCATATGCGCCTGATAAAGCGTAAAGTCACTTCCAGGGGGAATATAAGAAGCAACTATTACAGTGTTCCCAGACAATCCAGATACCTCAACAGCCAACTGGTCCAGAAGAGAGTCCTCGTTTGAAAGTACAGCTGCGCAGCAGGAGAAGGTACGGCGGACAGCCACGATGACGCCTCCACCTCTCTCGCACTTCATTCTGCTGAAGTCTCTATCCTTGCGATAGACATGTAATAAATTAGTATCGAAGAACTCATTGGAGTTGAAGTTGGGGTTGAGCCAGGTTTCAACCAATATTATTATATCATAACCACTGTTGGAAGTGCTCATGAAGACGGACTGAGTTTTAGTTCTCATTCCAGATATGTTTTGAAAATAAATTTTAAGGCAATTAGTTCCAATTCTTTTGACTGACGAATTCTCAGAAACTGTTGCCATAGTTTCATAATGGAAGTCATGAAATGGTATCGTAAAATCCACATGCGGCCTTTTCTTTGCAAGTCCAAAAAAGCCATTCAGAGCCGTACGCAATATTCCAGTCCGGATACGTATTGGTAGTGGAAGATTATCATTACGAAGGTTATAGTTGCAATCCATTCGTCCAATCGTAGAAGACCAACTTGCAGATACTTCCAGTGTCAATGAGTGCCCTAGGGAGCGCAATGCAGAAAGCGCATCATCAAAGAGAGGCAACAGAAGAGAAACTTGTGGAGAGAGCAAGCGTCCGTTAAAACGTAGGATTTTAAAATCCCCCGTTGGCAACCATGAGGAAGTGAGCGGAACTCCAAAAACACCAGTAAACCATCCAAACGTCAGCCGAAGCGCCGATGCAGCGGGAGGTGAAGGGAGCGCTGCATAGCAGCGGACTACTTTCAAGTAAGGAGCTGCATAAAGAA